CGGGGGCGCCGCGCAGGCGGGCGGGAGGACCCGGGAGCCCGGCGTCCGCTCGGACCGGGGCTCGGAAGCCCAGGAAGCTGCGGGCGAGAAAGACGCCAGGCCCTCAAGAGAACCCGCGGGGCTTGGGGCTCAGCCCCCTCAACACACACAGGCAGCCGCAACTCCGCTGGCCTGCCCCGTCCCAGGACTACATTCCCCGTCAGCCCCCGCGGCCAGGGGCTGCACCTAGGGTAAGGGTCTGCCGTGATGGTCGCTGGGAAGTGTAGTCCATTTGCACGGGGCCCCTCCACTCCCGCGACTCGGAAGTGGGTCAGGGGAGAAGAGGCGGGAGGATGCGCCTGCCTTGTGCCCGCTGGCTGCCGCCCAGCTCCCTGGCTCTGGTCCTCTGAGGTTTTCGGTCCTGGGGTCTCTTCTCTCGATCCACTGCCCGGGGTCCTTTCGCAGGACTGCTCCATCTCTGGGTCTCGAGGATGTGTGCGTGTGTCGGGTGAACATGGTCTGTCACGCTCAGTGGTGCAGGTGCACACTTCTGATCTGTGAGGTTGAGGCGCCCCCCCGTGTGCTCCCCCTTCACACCCCACCTCCCTGTTTGTATCTGTGTAGTCACTGTCCCACCCTCGCACCCCTCCGCTCTCCAGGCTTACAAGAAAACATCCAGACACTTAGCATCAGCATCCCGAATTTATTCTCCAGCAGCTGTGGCCGGGTGGGAGAGGCTCAGGGGCGGGGGCAGGAGCCCCCAGAGGCGGCTGGCCCCGGAGGGGAGGGGAGGCAGAGGTTCCCAGAGACCGGAGCCGGAGCCATGCACGGGCAGGGGTGGCTGGGGGTCGGCATGGGGGTCTAGAACAAAAGCTGGCCGGGAACAGTGGGGAAGACCCCTTCCATGCCTGGAATCCCGGGGAGCAGGGCACGGCCTCCCACTTACTCTATAACTGGAGCGCAGGTGGACGGGGCTCGGAGGACGGGGAGGATCTGGACCCCAGTCTGGAGGGGCGACCCCGTGAGACTATCTCCCCGCCAGAGGTGGGAGAGGAAGGGGAAACTACCGGGACGGAGCCTAGAACCCCTCAGGGCCAGGACGGTGGCAGGTACAGGGCTCAGCACAGCGGGATCTAGAACGCAGGACGGCCCTAGAGACCGGGTGTTTAGAAGGCCAGGTGCCGTCGGGAGGGGCATCTAGAGCCCGGGACGGGTGGACGGAGGCCAGAACGCTGCGGGGCAGGATCGCGAATGGAGGGGGCGTGGGGGACACCTAGCGGCGGCAGGTGACATCACATCACGGGCACGGGCACGGGGCTGGTGGGGCTGCGCGCGTCCGGGTGCACGAAGTCGGGGTTCACGTAGGTGAAGCCCTGGAAGTCCGCCTGGTCGATACTGGCCAGGACCAGGCGGTCCGGGGGGGTCAGCGCCGGTGCCGCCCGCGTGAAGAACTTGTCAAAGTTCTCACCGCTGCGGCCGCACTGTGGGGGTGCAGGGGGTGCAGGAGGCGGAGTTAGGGTTCCCCCGGCTCCGCGGAGGTCTACGTCCTGTCTCCCCCGGGATCTGCACACGCGCGTGGTCTCTGCACCCCCTTTGGGGTCTCCGTACGGGGAACCCCACTCCTCCTCCAGGTCCGGGCTCTAAGGTACGCGCCTGCCACCCCGCTGGGGACCCGCTTTGGCGGGCGGGAGGGCGACTGACCGGGCGAGGTCGGAACGGAGGCGCGATCTCCAATCGCTCCAGCCGCTCCCAGTCGATCCAGCGGAAAAAGCCGTGCGCCCGGATCGTGGGTTCCCCGTCAGGCCCGGAGCCCAGGCGCTTCCCTGGGTGCTTGGTTAGGAACTGCGGTGAACACAGAAAGAGATGGACGGACAGACGGATGGAGGCCCGGGCAGGGAGGCCCAGAGAATGGAGAAAGCGGGAGAAAGAATGGCAGAGGGACAGAGTGACACAGGCATGGAGACGAGGGGAAGCGGGAACAGGATGCGGAGGGGGACAGAGATGAACAAGGAGAATACATGGGAATGCAAGAGCAGTGGGGAGAGGAACTCCGCGCCAGGGCCGCAGGAGTGGACAGAGAAAGAGAAAAGAATCAAAGCGTGTGAGGTGTGAGGGGCAGAGCGACCCGGGAAGAGAGGAAGGGAGACACGGGGGGGGGGGGGTCCCAGAAAGGGAAGGACAAAGAAAGGAGAGGGAGGAGGACAGAGAAATTTGCACACCCAAAGAAAAGGAGTAGAGATCCAGAGCGGGAGGTGAAGACCCCGAGAAGGGAGGACAGAGGCGAAGGAGACAGCGAGCCACAGGGACAGCCACAGAGAACCCGGCGGGGGCAGACAGAGCACAAGCACGAGACAGAAACCAGAGACAGCCAGTCAGGGCGCACGGAGCGGGAGCCAGAAGCAGGGGGCTGCAGGCCTCCCTCGGCCTGGGTTTCCTTCTGCGTTAGCTCCAGCCTCCTCCAGAGGAGGCCAAGGTGCTGGGGACCTCGGGAGCCCATGGGGACTCAAGCCGTAGGGGTTAGGGCTATCTCACCACCCCCCACGGCCACCCAGGTCTGGAGAGACAGCCCTCGGCAGTGGGGACCCAGTGGGGGACAGGGTGGTAGCACCCTGGCAAGTCGCTGTTCCGTCAACCTGTCCAACAGATGCAAGTCAAGTGACTTGAAGAGGGGCAGACTTCCTAAGAGTCGGCCTGGCCGGGGCGAATGGGTTCTCACTCTGGGAAGCTGAGGGATGGGGCGCTCACCCCCTTGCAGATGGCCACAGCCTCCCGGGAAAGGGACTTGGGGTAGGTGACTGTTTGCTCCATGATGGCCTGAAACAGCTCCTCCTCGTCCTCACCGTCAAAGGGCGGCTATGGAAGTGGAGGAAATAAATAAGAGGCTTCCCCAAACGTCCACCCTCCCAGCCCGCCATGGACACGACCAACCACGGCCGCCGCTCCCACTGCCGCCCCTGCGGCGCCGACAGCTTCCTGGGAGGACGGCTAACCACACTGCCAAAGCTGCACAGCTCCAGCCTTCCACCTCCCTGTCCCTCTACTGCCTGGCTGTCTTTCCTGGCTATGCAAACCAACAGGGTGCTCTTTAGGCAATACGTCATTTAAACACTGCCGGGAGGACTGTAAATGCCCTCTCCTCACTAGCTGAGTGCCTCCTGGTCTTCTGGGACCAGGGGAGGCAACGCTAGGGCAGAGGTTCATAACTTGAAGTCTAGGTGGTCCGCATATACCAGGGAGGGGGCCGTGGATTTGCACGGGGAAAAATGGCGTGTTGCTCATCTGGAGCCACCAGCTGAAGGTTAGCATTCCCTCCAGTTAAGAATGTAGGCAACGAGGGGCTGGGGATTTAGCTCAGCGGCAAAGCGCCTGCCTGGCAAGCGCAAGGTCGTGAGTTCGGTTCCTGGTACCGGAGAAAAACAAAACAAAACAAAACAAAAAAAAAGAATGTAGGCAGGGCTGGGGATTTAGCTCAGCGGCAAAGCGCCTGCCTGGCAAGCGCAAGGTCGTGAGTTCGGTTCCTGGTACCGGAGAAAAACAAAACAAAACAAAACAAAACAAACAAACAAAAAAAAAGAATGTAGGCAACGAGCCGCCACAGCTGCACTTAGGACGCCGCCACCGACAGCGATCACAGGTATTTCTAATTGTCATTCCAACCTTGGAATTACCAGTAGACCATCCTCTTCATACTACCGTTAGAGCGTACTGTTTAATGGGCTGGTAATACATTCCCATATTGCAACTTCTAATATTTAGATAGCTTGTATATTTAATTTAGTTAGGTGAGACTAATTGGACTTTACGTTTTGATAACTACAGTTCAATGATATTTCCTCTGGTCATTCTATTATTTTGTGCACATGAAAATACCGGTTTTTTTTAAAGAGCAGAATTTATTGGGAGAAAGAAAGCTTCTATCTGACAGGGACAGAAAGGGAGGAAACGTTGTTTTGGGAAAGGGTTCGCAGGCTTTGCCGGACTGCTAACAAGGCCCATGACGTCAAAAACAAAAACAAGAAACCGACAGCAACAAAAGATTAAGAACCCTTGGCCTTTGAGGTAAGAGAATGCTTCAGGACCTCGGACAGCGGCGCACGCAGGAAACCTTGGCCAAACCTGAGCCTACAGCCCTTCCTTGTCCCGCTGTTGCCGACCGAAGAGGGGGTGCTCCTGCCGGAAGAGGGGGCGCTCAACCCTGTGCCCCTTTAGCAGCCAGTACCTCCCCGTCCTCCTTACCTGTCCCGCCAACATTTCATAGAGCAGAACCCCAAAGGACCACCAGTCGACAGACTTCCCGTAGGGCTGGTAGGCAATGATCTGGAGCAGGGTAGGGGATGAGCAGTCGTGATTTGCCCTTGGGAACCCGGACCCCTCTGGACTCGCGCCCAGATCGCTACCTACTTCAGGAGCCTTTCACACAAACTCTTCCCACTCTGGATATTTTGGCTAGAGCTCACCCTTTGGAAAATTCAGGAAACAGAGTTTACCTACATAGAACGTTTCTTTTTTCTCAGATACAAAGGCTACCTAAGGACCGAGTCACAAGTTCCACCCATCTAGAATATTTGTATAACTGGACCTTCCCTTCCTTCCAGCTGGGGCATGGGGATAAATCTTGGAGACCAGAGGTTCTTAAACCTGAACAAACATCAAATTCATAGAAGAACTTAAAAAAAAAAAGGTATTCCCATTCCTGAAGAGTTTTAGGCTCCATAAGCCAGAGTCACAGTTAGAAAAATATGTGTAATTTTCTAAGTTTCTGAAGGTGATTCTATTACCAACCAGGTTTTAGGACCACTGACATTGACTACTTGGGCATTAGCATTGATTAACTAAAAAGACCAAGGGACAACACCCCCCAGGCAACTTGCTCAACTTAGGAAAGTCAGGGACATGCACCTCCCATCTCCACGGACACTCAGACTCCAGCTCCAGGTCTTTACAAAGTCAGAGCAACTCTCTGCCCGCTGAAAAGAGTCAAGGGATGGCACCTGCTGCTCCAGCATTCTCAGGGACCTGGACCAGGGATATAGCTCAGCGGCACAAGTGCCTGCCTGGCAAGTGCAACATCCTGAGTTCGATTCCCAGTACCAAAAAATAAAAAATGAAATGAAAGCAAAACTCAGGGATCTGGCCCAGCCCTCCTGGAATGGCAGAAGATGAATGTACCATGTGCCTGCTGCACGCTTGGGTTCCACCCCCAGCTACACACACACACACACACACACACACACACACTCACGGAACCACATGCAATATTGAGCAGGAGTGCTCATGCAATGGAATACTCAAGGTAAGCTCTAGCTAGCTAGCATCCACAGGACACAGCCTCCGCACGTGGGCATGGTGTTCTCAGGGGACAGGCCCCCTCAGAGCACTCTAAAAATAGCCTCCACTTTTAAGTCCAGCCCCTACTTGCTCAGAATTCCTAGGAGCTGGTCCTGCTCCCTCAGAACACTCAGCCCCTGGTCCTGCCCACTCTGCCTGTTCAGAGACCCGGCCCCCACCTCTTGGAGAGCTCAGCACACAGATCTCCTCCCTGCAGAGCCCAGGGGCCCTTGCTGGAGCTCCCCAACTCAGGACAAGCCTGTGCATGCACCAAGAGACGGAGAAGCCTGTCCCGAGCAAGCCCAGGGCTCAGGGTTACCTCGGGGGCTATGTAGTCTGGAGTCCCACAGAAGGTGCGGGTCGTGGTCCCTGGGAAGACATTTTCCTTGCACATGCCGAAGTCAGTGATCTTGATGTGTCCCTCGGCATCCAGCATCACGTTGTCCAGCTTCAGGTCCCTGGCGGGATTTCAGAAGGGTTGGGTTCAGCAGGTGGAGCCGCAGGTTCCAGTGCCTTCCCCTCGGGGGCCTGCCTCCGCTCCCCGGGAGTCCTGGGGCTGCGGACCTGTAGATGATGCCCTGGTTGTGAAGGAAGAAGAGGCCGATGGCGATCTCTGCCGCGTAGAACCTAGAGGCGCAGGAGGGAAGCCACGGGTCAGCGGCGGGCCGGGCCCTCTCCGCCCGGCCCTCCCTCCGCTCCTGCGGAGACTCACGCTGCATGCGGCTCCTTAAACTTGCCCAGCTGCTGAATGTGGTACATCAGGTCGCCGCCGGTGACATACTCCATCACGAAATACAGGCGGTCCTGGGGGTACGGAGCGGGGCTGAGGCAGGGACACGCCCACCTGCCCCGCCCACTCGGCACAACTGCAGTGGGCTAGGGATCTCATCAACCGGAAATCCAGGGAACTGGCCGCTGCCCCAGGAATGCCCTGGGGGTCTCACCTGCCGGCCCCCCCCTCCCGCAGAATCTCCACAGCCTGAGGGTCACTCACTCCCAACTGTCAAATTCTGGCTGTACCTTTCCAGAACTAGATGAGGCCCCGCCCACTTAGCCCCTACGACCTAGCCACGCCCACCAAGAAGTCCTCCACCTGGCCACGCCCCGAGAATCTGCATCCTGGCCACGCCCACCAAGGAGTCCTCCACCTGACCACGCCCCCGAGAATCTGCATCCTGGCCACGCCCACCACGGAGTCCTCCACCCGGCCACGCCCCCCGAGTAGCTGCATCCTGGCCACGCCCACCACGGAGTCCTCCACCCGGTCACGCCCCCGAGTAGCTGCATCCTGGCCACGCCCACCAAGCAGTTCCGCCCCCCCCCCACACACACACACATCCTCTGACACCAAAGCCAGCGGCGGGAGGAGGCAGGGCCCCGGGCCGCCTCTGCCTTCTCCCTCACCGGTGTCTGGAAAGTGGAGTGCAGCTGGGTGAGGAAGTGGGGCCGCCCGCCGGGACCTCTGCCCCCCAGGGCCAGCACACGTTTCTCCACCAGGGTGCAGTCCACGTCGTCATCCTGGACGATCACATCCTTCTTCAGGATCTTGATGGCATAGAGCTCGTCGGAGCCTCTGCGCTCGGCCAGCATCACCTACCAACACAGGTCCAGCAGGCCGGTCCCCTTGGAGTCTCAGTGCAGGGCGCTTGCGCAGCGCTTGTCAAGACGGTCTTTCCCCCGCCCTCATGGGACCGGACTCCCCTCAGGGAATGCACAGGCGTCTCCGTTCCTGCCCTCCAGGACCCCGAGCGGCACAACCTCGCCCCAGACCTGGGAGCCAGGTCTCCCATGACTCCCCACGGACCAGAGCCCGACCTCTGCACCCACGTGCTCCCTGGCCCCAGAACCCCAGAGCCCCACCTTCCCAAAACTGCCTTTTCCTAGGACCATGAGGAAGCTGAAGTCGGAAATGTGCAGGCGTCCTGGGCTGGCACCGAAGAAGCAGCGCTTCGGGTCCGTGGGGCTGGGGGACGGCGAGGGCACGGGGGAGGACGAGGGGCCCATCCGCACTCGCTGTGAGAAAGGGGAGAGACGGCGCGAAGCATGAGACCGAGAGGCTGAGGCAGGAGGATCCTTGCAAATTCGAGACCGGCCTGGGCTACAAAGTGAGCTCAAGGCCAGCCTGAACTGCACAGAGAGACCCTGTCTCAAAAAGAAAAAAAAAAAGAATGAGACTGAGACGGGGAGGAAGAGAGCCTGCCAGCCCTCCTGCCCCGTTTGGCTTCAGAGCCCCTCCGACCCCCGGGAGCTGGCAGGCTGGACTCACCACCTAACTAGCGCTTAGCTGACAATACGCTATCTCTGGGACAGGGCCCATCATCCCCTTTCACAGAAGAGCAAGCTGGCGCAGAGAGGTCCTGTAATTTGCCCACAATCACAGAGCAGGCAAAGAGCAGAGCCAGAACTAAGATCCCAGGGGATCAGCTCCAGGCTTGGTGTTCCTGGCCTCTAGAGGGTTTGGTGAAACAGACCCCAGGGTCCCCGGCAAGGTCTCCGGGCTGTGGAAAGCTGGGGCAGGCCTGAGAAGTGGTACTTCTAGCGAGTTCCAGGCCGACATTGCGTGCAGCTTGTCGGCGGGCCATGCTGGACTTTCAGCCACGGGGCCTCGATGGGGTCAGCAGGCCGCTTGCGGCCCGTCTGCCACCATGGACAGCTCCCGGTGGCACTGAGGGCCGCGGTCTGCGGCTGTCTGCTGACCCTGTGAGCTCACTATGACAAAGGTCTGCCTTGTTCTCCAAGACACAGTGGCCATGCCTGCGCACAGCTGCGGCTCTGGGCATCAGTTAAAGGGTGCAACTTTACGCAGCAGGGCAGCCTGACCTCCTGGACTCCGACCCCACGCAGCGCTGGGCCACCTCCACGACTGCATCCACATGCAGGGGCGTGTGCACGCTAAGTTCACATGCACCGAGCACTCAGAACGGGGCCCAGGAGGCACAGCAGCTGCTTGTCCGGCTGCAACCCGGGGCCAGGCTGAGGGTCTGGCACACAGGGTGTGGGCACTGGTATTGTTACCTGGGGCCTGCTGAGTTGGCGATGCGGCAGTGAGTCACACCACACATACAGCCTGGGCCCATCAGCGGCTCCCACAGATTAAGGAGCTAATCCAGCCAGCCCTGGTGGCAAACGCCAGTCATCCCAGCACTTGAGAGGCTGAGGTAGGACGACTGCTGTGAGTTCAAGGCCAGCCTGGGCTACACAGTGACTCTGCCTCAAGGTGTGCATTCTCCCGGAGGCTTATTTACTTAGCTCTGCGTCTTCCTCCAAGGGTCAGCCTCACAAGGAGGAATTTTCTGTTTCAGTCCCTGCTCCACGGAAGCCTCCAGTGACTACCACCACGCCTCACACTCATGTTGGTGCTCAACAATTAGTTTTGTTTTGTTTTGTTTTTGTTTTTGTCTTTTTGAGACAGGGTCTTGCTATGCAGCCCAGGCTGGTCTCAAACTTGCAGCAATCCTCCTGCCTCAGCCTCCGGAGTGCTGGGATTACAGGTGTGCGCCACCACGCCCAGCTTCAACAATTAGTTTTGGAAAGAGGGACTAAGGAGAGAAGGAAAAGCCGCCTTCCTTCCTCCACCCTCGGCTCTCCGGGGAGCTGTCCCCAGAGAGGCTTGGGCTCGAATCCCTGATGCCCGAGGCAGCGCCACAATCAAACACAGGCTTCCCAGCGGCTGCTCCTCCAGAAAAGGTGCCCCAGGGAGCAGCCTGCTGGATTCCCGAGCAGGGCCCGGGCTTAGAGCGTGAATGAACAGGGGAGAAAGGACCCAGTGAGGGACAGGGAGGAGCAGTGCAGGAAGGCCTCCCTGACCACCGCGCTCCAGGCTGGCTCGGTGCCTGGGTCACCTCTAATTCAGTGCACTGCCTGTATTTTATTTATCTGCCACGATGTTCCCATCTTGGCGAGGTCGTCTGAGGGTCAGATTCACCCTTGGCATCACCAGCGTTATTCAGCAAGCACAGGGTGGACCTGGCAGCAAGCCCTTACTCACCGCCTGTGCAGAACTGAAAGTGGAAGTCAAAGGAGGAACAAGTGGTGCGAGGGAGCGGGGACAGCGCGTCTGCCCTGGCTTCACTCACCTCATACAGTTCCAAGGGGTAGTTACAGGCCTGGAGGGGAAGAAAGCCAGAGTCAGAGTCCCCAGAGAGGTAACCGATTGCCCTAGAGCAGGGCTGGCCCTAACGCCCCCAAGCCATGGGGATGGAGAAGGACTACAGTTCCCATAAGACCCTGGGCCTAGAGCCCCCTGGAAGAACAGAGGAAGGAGACCTGGGGTCTTCTGGGAGTTGCAGTCCCGGGACCAGTGGGCAAACCAGCAGGCAGAGGGTGAGGCCAGCTCTGAACTAGGGGAGGCTGAGCTGGGCTCCCCTGGGGAAGCCGTTGGGTACCTCAAACTTCTGGAGGAGGCTGCAGTTGTCAGCATCTGCCACCGGCACATTGTAATATTCACCCTCCTCCTGGTTCAGTAACTTGTACCTGACATACAGACGGAGACCAGGGCCGGGCAGGGGTCGGGGGAGAGAGGCACCCACGGGAGAGGGAGGGACATCCAAACGGAGGAAAGAGACACAGAGAGACAGACAAAGGTGGAGAGAGAGAAAGAGTGAGATAAGGACAGAGGGGAGCAAGAGAGAGAGAAGAAAGCGGAGGATGCCGTGGGGGGAGGGGCTGGACTGTGGGAGGGGACGCAGGAGGAAGGTGGTGGTGCAGAGGACACCGCACAGGGGGGACAAGCTGACACCGGGTTGGCCCCGGCCCCGGCCCAGTCCCGCTCCTCACCAGCCGTCCACAGGCGCCTTGAGCAGTTCCGAGACCCCGAAGGACATGGCCCCCATGAAGTCATTGCGGGAAGTCCGGTCCCAGTCCCACACCTCCACGCTGAGCCTGCGCTCCACGTCCCCCGGCTTCAGGTTGCTGAGGAAGCGTGGGGAGGCGTGAGGGCCCCTGCTCGGCTCGGGGCTCCCCCGTCCTTGGCGCCCCTCCCCCTCCGCGCAGGTCTCTGCACCCAGGGCTGCGGTCAGTTCCCTGCCCCTCTGCCCTTCCCGTCCCGCTCCAGGTCTCTCTCTGGACAGCTCTCCGACTCTGCATCTCTGGGCCCCTTCTCTCCCCAGCGCCTCCACTTCCGTCTGCGTCTCTGCTTTGGGACCCCGGTCTCAGGGTCCCTGTGCCCCTCTGGTCTTCTGCCCCATGGGACAGTCTTCCGTCCGTGCCCCCTCCCTGCACCTCCCCATCTTCCCCTCTAGGCCTGCCTCTTCCCGGCCCCTCCCCACTGTCCCAGCTGCTCCGAGCACCTGGCTGGCTGCCCACCCGGGGAATCGAACTCAGAGCCTCTAGCCCGGCGTAGTGGCGCACGCCTGTAATCCTAGCACTCGGGAGGCTGAGGCAGGAGGGTCGTTGTGAGTTCGAGACCAGCCTGGGCTACAAAAGTGAGCTCAAGGCCAGCCTGAACTGCACAGCGAGACCTTGTCTCAAAAAGACAAAATAAATAAATAAACAGAAGAACTCAGGGCCTCGTGCTTGCCAGGCAGCCACTGTGCCGCTGAGCTGCATCCCGTCTTTGACGGTCAGTCCTCCTTGCGGTCTGTGTCTCCGCCCCTCTCCATCTCTCCCTCCCTCCACCCCCTTCTCCGCGTGTGAGCCCTTTCCCTGCTCCTGACTCCTCCCGTGGCTGCTCTCTGGGGTCTGGGGCCTCTGCGACCCCCGGACCGTCCTGTCAGTCACCATAGCCTCCCCAGCATCCAAGCTCACAACACGAAGGTCTCGTTCCACACGGGGTTGAGCGTGGCTTTCACCGTCCGGGTCTTCTGTTTGGTCAGGTTGCGAGGGTCTGGGATGAGCTTCAGTTTGACATAGGGATCAGACAGGCCATTGGGGTCCATGGGAATGAGGTTTCGGGCCTCACCGACTGAGGGGGTGAAGGGGGAGGCAAGTGTCTGGGGTCAGAGATCCAGGACGAGGCGCCCAGCCCTCCCCAGTCATGGAGGAAGAATTCTGATCTTCCCTCCTCGGAGCCAGAGCACGGGCCTGAGCTCCTCTGCAAACTGGCCCTGCGCCCAGAAGCCACAGCCAGAGCCCTTTCCTCCTCTGGGGCTCAGGAGTCTGCGCCCTGGTCCATCCCCTAGGAAACCGGACTATGGGGTCCTTCCCGTCCCTCCCAGCCTCCCGCTCAGGATCCCAACCTGGGATGGCCATTATGAGGCCTGGGAGGTTGGCTGGGGTGGAGGCGGGGCTTTTCCGGGCAGAAGGGGGCGTGGCTATGGTGGCGCCCCGCCTTCAAGGCGGGACCAGGTTTCTGAGTGGGCGTGGCTTTCGAAAATGGGTGTGGTCTTGTCTTGGGGACAAGCAGGCCTCGCACAGGCGAGGGGCGGGGCCTCACCGGTGACGTGGATCTCGTCGCTGGTCGGAGCCCGGATTTCCAGCTGCAGGCGGCCGCGGCGCTCGGTGTGGTCCACGCCGCACAGCGAGGGCACGCTGCGCACACAGCGCCGGTGCACGTTCATCTCGCAGCCTGGCGGGACAAGCCGGGGTCGCACTTCCAGCCCAGCCCCGAGCACCCCCTGCCGCCCCGGCGGCGCAGCCACACTCACAGGAGCATTTCATGCCCTGGTGCACCAGCCCGTAGAGCAGCGAGCCGCAGTGGTCGCAGAAGGTGGGGCTGCTGTAGCTATGCAGGCGGAACTTGTGCTTGTTCCGGGGGTCCTAGGGGCAGAGAAGGGCTCTTAGCGGCACAGGAGCCTTTGTAACCTGACTGGCCCACCCTGAGCTCCGCCGCACCCGGGTCACAGGGCGCCTGCGGCAATCGGGTGCTGGAACCTGGGCAAAGCAAGCTAAAGACCCTGGCCTCTGGGGTTTGTTTCTGTTTTGCTTTGTTTTGCTTTTTTGGTACCAGGAGTTGAACTCAGGACCTTGCACTTGTCTGGCAGGCGCTTATACCACTGAGCAATATCCCTGGCCCTGGGATTTCTTTCTAGCGGAGGGAGACAATACAAACACAGTAATTAAGTGAAATATATGGCATGGGCTGGGGGAGAGGCGCAAGGGCAGAGCGCCTGCATAACATGCGCTCAGCCCCCAGCACTGCATAAATGAATAGGCGTGTGTGTGTGTGTGTGTGTGTGTGTGTGTGTGTGTGTGTGAGTGATGAGCGGAGATAAACGAAGCACAGATGGGGGTGACAGAAGCTGGGGGCTTGAAATTTGAAATAGATGACTGGGCGTGGTGGCGCACGCCTGCAATCCCAGCACTTGAGAGGCTGAGGCAGGAGGATCGCTGCGAGTTCAAGGCCAGCCTGGGCTGCAAAGCGAGACTGTCTCAAGAAAAGGACAAAACACTGAAATAGAGTAGGAAGGGAAGCCCCTGCCCACAAGGTCGCACTGGGGCAGATCATGAAGGAAGCGGGCCTGGGCCATCCCACCGGCCCCACCCTCCCCACGCACGGCACACATCCTCCAGGAGGTGTTCTCTGAAGACCGGTGGGCCACTCAGCCCGATGTCAGCATCTGCGCCCGCCTGACCAGTGTTCCCGGAGCTGAGTCCCCTGTGGCGCCGCGCGCGAAGTAATGGAAGTGCAGGGCTGTGCCTGTGAGCCGCACCCGCCTTACTCGTCCACATCTCTCTGGTTATTAGCGATTTTCTCGGCTCCCCACACAGCCCTCCGATTCACTAAGAACTAGGCCACTTCCCAGCTGTGTGCTTTGGAGCAGGCTCTTTGCCCCTCTGTCAAACGGAAACAAATGATCTGCATCTCAAAGCCAAGCTGGGTTTCTAGAATCGTTACCCCTGCAATGTCTGGGGGGGCAATAGCTTCAGACCTGCCTCTTTCTAAGAATGCGCTGGATGATGGAAAGCAAAGAGAAGACCTTGTTGGCCTTTTGCTGATTTGGGTGGGGGTCTATTTTGAATGTACTGGGGGGGGCACTGACAGTTGCCATATCTTCTTTGATGCCCTGGGACTGTAAAGGGCTTGCACTGACCCTGACTGGAATAAATAAGATGCCATCAGTGCCCCCTGCAGGGAGCCTTCCAGACAGAAGCCGTTATTCTCCTCAAAGTGCAAACGCTTATTAAAAAGGAAAAGACCTGGGCCTCCAGTTACAGAGCCCCGGGTCCAAACCCTTTTTTGGTTGTTTTCTGAGACAGGGTCTTGCTTTACAGTTAGGGGTGGTAAGCACCTGTATAGCCCAGCCGTGGCTTACATGCACAGCGATCCTGCCTCAGCCTCCCTAGTGCTGGGATGACAAGCCTGCACCGCCACACCTGGCCAAGGTCCAATTACCCAGTTCGTGGCCCTTCAAGGCCTCAGTTTTCTCCCCCTACAAAAGGGGGCCTGTGAGCCCTCCGTAAGAGGTCTCAGGAGGAGGAATCAAAATTGCATGTCTAAGCCCTCGGGCCTTCTTAGGACCTCGGGCCATGTGACTTACACGATTGAAAGTATCTACCACACAACAATGGAGAAGGGTAGGGAGGAAAGACCTCCTTGACAGGCATCTGTGCTTTCCCACCCTGATACCCATGTTAGCAATGACAAGGACAGTACCTCGTTGCTCACTGTCCTCCAGATACTGTACCAGCCCAAGAATTTGACTCACTGCAATCTGGAGCCGCTCCCGTAGGAGGGCACAATTCCCACCCCCGCTTGTTTCACAGATGAAGTAGTCAAGAAGGGGTAAATTAAATTGGGGGGTGGGGTGCTGGGCCAGTGCTGCTGGGACTCACAAGAACCCCTGTCCTGTGTCTCCGGAGCTCCTGCTTGGCAGGGCTCAGGGACAATCCCTAGGCTGACCCTGAGGCTGTGGCCAGCGCTGGTCGGGCACACTGAAGCTGGTGCTGGTGGTGCAGGTGGGCACGTGGGGCGGGCAGGAGTATCGCAGATGGCAGGCGGCACGCGGTGGTGCGAACGTGTGCTCTGGGCAAACCTCCGCCCCCTTCACCTGACAAGCTCACAGACTGTCTCACGGACTTCTGTGAATCCATCTCTTTCTCTCTTTCTTAATCACGCAACCGTCCCCCTTGCGTCAAACCCTGGGCAAAACACGGACGTCACCGTCCTGTCACCACAAGCTCAGGGTATCTACACTGGGACACCAACGACCTCGGCTGCTTGAATCCAAGCCACTTTGAAGGAAGCGGGGTTTAGAAGTCTGCTCCTCAGGGCAGCAGCCCCGTTCCTGCGCCCCAGCTGTGCGGGGCCGCTGCCCCCAACCGCACAGCGCATGCCCCAGGGCACAGCCTCGCGGACAGCTTTGCGGGTCACTGCCGCGTCACCGGCCCCGCTTCACAGGGAGGAAACCGAGGCTCAAATGGAAGCGATGGGGAGTCAGGGCCAGGCGCCTGGAGGTGCAGGGGGTGGGTGGCAGGCTGGGGGTCTGAGTGTGTGTCGTGTGCGAGTGCAAACACGCGTGCTGGGCACAGGGGGGGCTCCGCGCCTCCCTCTGGCACCTCTCCCAGTCCTCGAGTTCCAGGTTTCCTGTGTGAGACTCTTGGGGTCCTCTCGCTCTGTCCCCCTCGGTCTCTCTGTCTCTCGCTGCCTGCTCCCCCCTCTTCCTCCTCTGTGTCTCTCTCTGCATCTCTGGCCCTCTTTCTGAGGTTCTCTTGTCTCTCTCTGTCCCTCCGACTTCAGTCTCCTCACCTCTCACCCCTGCATGGCGCTCCACCCCTCCGGCCTTGGTCTTTGGTCCCTTCAGCCTCCTGTGTCTCCCACCTGGGCTCCTGCCCTGTCCCAGGCCCCTCTTGTCCCCCTTTCCAGGCCAAGGGCAAGGAATCTGGGCCAGGCGAGCTCCCCTATCTCTCCTGCCCTCCTCCCCTCCCAGCCTTAAAAATAGCAGGAGAAATTGGGACGGTCGCCCAGGGGGTGAGGGCGGGGTTCGGCCTGAGGAAGCAGGTGTCCGGGCACTCACGTCCGTCTGGGGGCCCTTCCCAGCGCCTGGACACTCGAAGGTCACGAATTCGTGGCATCGCCGGTGGACCACAAAGCTGCAGACTGGAGGGAAAATCACAGGGGCACAGAGCCAGAGGGAGACATGGACGAATCCAGAGAGACCCCACAGACACAAAAGTGAAGAGAAAGATAGGGCCGGAGGGAAAATGGGGGGTGGCGCCCAACGCACAGAATGCCGCACAAAGTCAGAGGGGAGACCCACGTGGATGCACAGAGACGACAGGGAGAGAGAGAGACCCAAGAAACGGACTCGAGGGAAGACAGAGATGCATTTAATCACGAGAAAGACAGAGCCGGACCGCACGCGCAGCCCAAGGGAGACAGACAGACAGGCAGGATCCCGTGGACGCACAGACCCAGCTCCACAGACGGAGCAAACAAATAACGGCAGAAGCAGACAGGTTTGAAGCGAGAAGACCCAGACGAACCCCCAGACGCTGCGCGGGGCCAGGACCTGGGCAGAAGTGAGTCTGGGGGCCGCGCTGGCCCGCCCCCACCCTGACTCACTCGTTCCCGGCAAGTGGCAGCTGGCGCTCTAGGACTCGCCCCCCTTCCCAGCCCGCCCGTCACGGTGACCCCACCCGGCCTGCCCCTGCCTGGGAGGGATGGCGTTGTCATGACGACCGCAGCCTGGGGGGGCTCTGACTTTGCATCTCCGGCCCCTCCCCCCCTCAGCTCCCCCTTTTCCAAATCTCCCCGTTCCCATGGCAACAGATTCTCCAAATATCTGTCCCCACCTGGAGCCGGCCGAGGGAGGGGCCTCGTCACCACCTCCGCGGATGGCCCCGCCATCCAACTCCCTCCCCGCCAAGGGCTGTGTCTCTGCCACACCCCCCCGCCCCGGGCTCCCCCGCGCCTCTCTGGGGACTGCGAACACGTGTGCCCGCAGCCCCAGCCTGGGGCCCCTGCCTCCGCCCTCGGGGGTCCCAGGAGTCCTGGTCCCGGCTCTTACCTTGACATTGCAGGCCCTGCTTTCCAATACCCCTGGAAGAGCCAGGCACAGAGCGGAGGTCAGTGCGGAAGGGGCTTCTGGCCCCTCCCACCTCCGCCGCCTCAGCCTCCAGGGGTGAGGTCTGTAGCCTCTGACCCTCGCCCCGCGCAGGCAGGGCTTGGGGCGTCAGCCCCAGCCACCTCCTCTCCCAAGAACCACGAATTCTGGCCCTCAGCCCCTCCCGCCCGCGGACCCTGGAGTCCAGGACCCAGGCTCTCCTGCCCCGAACCTGGGGGTCCAGCCCCGCCCCCACCATCCTGGACCCTGGAGTCGGGCTGCAGCCCTCTGCTCCCAGTCTGCACCCCGTCCCTCCTCATGCAGCCCGTGCATCCTCTGCCCCAGGCCCGAGTCCCCCATCCCGGGGCCGGAGTGGGGCCGCAGCCCCTCGGCTCCCGGGTGCGGAAGTCTGCGCGGCCCCGCCCTGCGCCCCGTCCCTCCTCACCAGATGAAGTCCGTGCAGTGGCTGCAGAAGGTCGGCTGCTTGAAGAAGCGGGCGGTGAACTTGTGGCTCTTGACCTCGTGGACCACCTTCTGCCTCAGGGCCCCCTTTCTGCAAAACAGGGGTCGGGGTCCCCCCTCGGAGTCGCCTCCGCCGGGGCCCAGGCCCGCCATGGCCCGGGAGCGCGGCGGGGACCCTGCCTTCCTGCTGGGGCTCGGGCAGCCGGGGGCGCGGGCAGCCGGAGGCGCGGGCGGCGGGCGCTGGCTAGGCACCTGCTCAAATGTGGGAGCCCCGGCTGGGGGGAGGCGTCGCCACGACGACCGCGGGGCGGGGTTTCGCTTAAAGGAGCCCCCTCCCCGAGAAAAGGGACGAAGGCCCCGCCCCCGCACGTGCACACACCCACTCGGGGCGTGGCTGCAGGGCGGGGACACCCTCGGAGCCGGGCCCCACCCCGCCGCCCTTGCCCGCCAGCTGGCTGGGAGGGTCCTGTCCGCCGTGCGTCCGCACTCGCATCTCGGTCTGACGCGTCACTGCGTCAATCAACAAACTTTCTGCTCGGCACCGAGAACCTGGTGGTTCAGGGAGGCCCGGCGCTCTCGGAGTCCGCGCCGCTGCGCCTCCTCCCGAGGCTGGCTGCCTCTGGCAGTGTCTGTTCCTGGAAGTCAGTCTCTCCTCGCTCTGCGCCCCGGAATTCCCGCGGCTGCTCGCTTGGCTTGCGGCGTGTCTCCACCTCCCTGGTCCTGATGTCACTGCCCTCTCCGGCGTGGCTCAGTGCCCTGTCCGTCTCGGAGTCCCCATCGCCCCTCCTGCCTGAGTCCTGCCTGTCACCCTCTCTGCTGTGACGCCGGGTCGCCGTGCCTCCCGCTCGGCCGCGGTATCGCTGCGGGTGCCTATCTGCACCCAGCACCTCTCCTCTCCTCCCCGTGTCTCTCCCTCCCTGGGGGGGTCTTTCGCCCTGCGTGTCTCCCCATGACTCTGTTTCCGGGGTTCGCCCCTCCGTCCCGCGGGAATCCGTGCGCCCTCGCGGTCCCCGGGTTCCCCCAGCCGCCCCGCCTACGTCGCGCTCCGCCCCGCCCCAGTCCCAGCCCGGCGCGCTTCCGGCTCCCTGCTCTCGGGAGGACGCTCTGTTGCCGGGGCAACCTGGCCCGCCCGAGCCGCACTGCGTCCTGGGCCTTGTAGTTCTTTGAGCGCACCAGCCGCACTCTGGGCGCGCTCGGAAACTCCCTCTCCCGGCGTGCCGCGCGCGGGGGCGGTGTCAGGGCGCGCAGCGCGGCTCCCCGGGGGCGGTCCGCGAGTCCGGGTCCAGGCGGAGGCTGCTCCCGAGCCCCTGGCCTTCTACAGCCGGCTGGCTGGGTGGCCCGGCAACTGACCGAGGAGTCCCCCCTTCGTCCCAGCTGCCCGGGCTCTGTAACCGTCACCCCGCGTTGCAGCGCGGCTGTTCCGCTGCCTTCTAGGGGCGACCCAGCACGGGGTCCCAGGGTCGAACTGCAGAGGAAAAGGCGGCCCTCGCCCCACAGCGATCTGTCCTAGCTGGCCCTTACCCCTCCTTCCAAATCAGGGAAATGGATGTACTGTACCCGGGATTGAGCCCAGGGCCTTTGCATTGAGCAACACCCCAGTTCTTTTCTAACATTTTGAGACAGGGTCTTGCTAAATTGCCCAGATTGCGCCGGGACTTGCCACCCCCCAGGCGAGAGGATCTGCCGTGGTACAGATTTAGTGCAGGGGTGACTCGATCGCTATCAGGCTCCTGGGCCAGATGTGTCCGGATTCCCTGAGCTCACAGTAGCCAGCCGGCCCGGAAGGCTTTCGGCTGGACCGAAGGGGTTTGAGAGAAGCTACAGGCCACGGGGAGCAGGCTGCAGAGGGTTCCAGGCGAAGGGGAGCAAATCAGACCTGGGTGTGTTAATTTCCTAGGGGGAGGGGCTGGGGATTTAGCTCAGCGGCACAGAGCCTGCCTGGCAAGCGCAAGGTCGTGAGTTCGACTTCTGGTACCGGAAGAAAAAAAAAAAAAACTCCTAGGGGACCGGGGTAGGCTAGAAATAGGGTGGTCAAGGAAGAGGCTGGGGCAGTGGCTCTGGTGAAACAAAGGCGGACTTGGGCTGGGCCGAGACTGGAGGAAGGGGCAGCCATAAATTATATTTAGAGGAAGTGTTTGATGAGCGACTGATTGAGGACAGGGAGGAGGGTCGGCGCAAGTACCTGCCGTCTCACTCTTGAGAGGCTGTGTGTACGTGGGACTCCGGGAGGGAGAATCTGTTCGTTGCTACTCCACCCAGCCCTCTGGGTTTGAGTGATTTTATTGATTCGCAGTATTGCGGATTGAATCCAGGCGCTCACACGTGCGAGCGAGGCAAGCGGTGAGTGCTGAGCTACACTCTCCATTCCCCAGTCCTTTCTGAGAAAAATCTTTCTCAGTTGCCCAGGCCGGCCTTGAACTTGTGGTCCTCCTGCCTCAGTAGTGAGGATTATAGGCATGCGCCTCTGACCCTTGCACTTGAAGAAGTAATTTAGAACACCTAGACTCTGCCGGTATTTTTGTTTGTTTGTTTGAGACAGGGTCTCACTATATAGTTCAGGCTGGCCTTGAGCTCACAGGGATCCTGCTGTCTCAGCCTCCTGAGTGCTGGGATTATACACGTGCCACACACTCTGGGTGCTGGCTCTACTAGTATTCTCTTCTGAGGCCAAGGTTATCTCGGTCCGGATTCCTCCTCCCTCAGACTGAGGAGCATGGGCCCCACCCTTCCCCTGGAGACCCCCGCAGGAATATAAAAAACCACAAATCTTCTTTTTTATCTTTATGTCAAGATTTAAAAAAAAACAACACTGTGAATGTGCCAATAGGGGGAGGGACAAGACTTCTATGACTGACAGCAGGAACTATAGGAACCAAAAGCTCCAGGGAATTAAAAAAAATAATAAAATATATATTTATACATTTATATATCACGATATGCATGAATCCCGGAGAAGCAGGAAGCAGCAGCAAGCAACTAGCACACAGAAACACACGTGTGTGCACTGCACACGCACACGCACGCGATGACATTCCCCGGTCACGACGGGCGGCAGCAACCTCCCCCCACCCCAAAGCAAAGAAAAACTGAAAAGAACCCCCTGCATCGCAGAAAGGGGCGCCACGTAATTTCTGCCCCCATGACCTAGAAAAAGAAAAGGCCAGGCGACTGCCTTTCACTCCGGCAGTGGCCGTTTCCCTTCACCTCTGCCAAAGAGAGACGCATTATTTTTAACACTGAGGCGGGAGGGCCGTGTTCCTCCTGTCCCTCACAAATACTTCAGACCTTGGTCTGCAAGACTGATGGTTTTTTTCTTGCTAGCACCAAGGACGGATGGGTTGAAAGCCAGCCAGCGCGTGCTTCCTCCAAGATGGCCTCTAGGCAGTGCGTTTTTAATAAGCCTGGCAAAAATTCTGGAGCCAGTCTCAGGCAGGGCTCAGCGCCAGGTGGGTCGGGAACCCAGAGTCTGTGCTCAAAGCGTCCCGCCCACCGGGAATGTTTGACCTTCAGAGAACTGTTTCTGTAATGCGAAGGGGAGGTGCGCTGCACAGCCTCCTCCACTAGGGGAAAGGGGCCCGATCCCTAGCCACCCCCTCCCCCCAGCACACACGCACAGACATAGACTAAGGCACAGCTAGGGTGGGCAGGCATGCTTTGGCAACGAGGCCTCTCCGAGGCCGTGGCATGAACAGCTGCAGAGAAGGTGTGGATGTGTGGAGCTCAGCACCTTTGGAGGTGAGGTGGGACAGGGCCAGGCTCGGGGCTCTCCTGGGGACACAGGCAGAGGAGAAATCCGCGGGAAACCAGAACAGAGAGAGCAGAGAGGGGAGGAGCCAGGGCAGACGGCACAGGGGCAAAGCAGGATGCGGACACCCAGCCCAACAGGAAGGCCAAGAGGGGGGCGAGGAGAGGAAAGGGGGGCCTCAAGCAGCAAGGACAGAGAGAGGAGTCGGCTGAGGAAATGAGGTCTCAGCACTGGAAACGTGGGAGGACGACAAGGCGGTGGACGGAGGACACGGGCCACGCGAGCCTTAGACCTTGACGAACACCAGGCGGGCAGAGTGCGCCAGGTCGGCCAGGTACGCCAGCAGGTTGATGCCCGTGAGGACGGCCACCGCCAGCATGCGGTCCCAGGTACACACGTTGTAGGTGTGCCTGGTGCCGCAGCTGGGGTCCCTGGACCGGCGGGAGTTGCCGCCGTACCTCTGATCGAACTGGTACAGGGGCCAGAGGACCAGGGCGATGGCGTACAGGAGGACAGACAGCAGGGCCAGGCCGGACAGGAAGCTGGGGAAGGCAATGGGCAGCACGTTGGTGCAGTCGCCCAGGTTCAGCAGGATGGCCACCGCCGCCAGGATGAAGCAGATGGCATACACCGCCACGCAACACTCCAGGGCCGGCTCGTGCTGGTAGAGGCTGGGGTTGCTGATGAAGACGAAGATGACGCAGGCCACGAAGGTCTCCAGCACCTTCAGCAGTCCAGGCACGGTGGCCATGTAGCCGGTGATCTCGCCAGGCCGCGCCCGGGTCCAGGCCACCTCGGTGGCGTAGGCCAGACAGGCCACGCAGGAGAAGGTGGTGGCGGCGATGGCGTGGTCTCGGGAGCGGCCGTGAGACATGAACTGCACGTAGGTGGTGGGGTAGATGATGGAGGACGTCAGGCAGAAGAGGGCGGCGTAGCAGGCGTAGGTGATGGGGAAGTTCCTCCAGGACAGGGGGAAGCGCGCCTGCAGCCCGCCCAGCTCCACCAGCAGGATGATGAGGGTCACGGCAAAGCAGAAGCACCAGGTGAACATGGACCAGTGGCCCATGGGCCCCGTGTAGGCGCCCACGCTGGCCACCAGCGAGAAGGCTATGCAGGTGGACACCAGCTGCAGGAGACGGAGCAGGCCCAGGGGCTGGGTCAGGGCCCGAGGAGACCCCACGATGGTGGAGGACGACGAGGTGGTCGTGATGGTCGTGCGGGTCACCGTCACCGGCATGGCTGGCAGGGGCAAAAGACAGGGTCTCAGGACCCACTGCTGTGGGCCCGAAGCCAGGGGTGGTGGCAGAGCCTGTAATCTGAGCGCTTAGGAGGCTGAGGCAGGAGCATTGCTCTGAGTTCCAGGCCAGCCTGGGCTAGTGAGTTCAGAACCGGCCTGAACTGCATAGCGAGACCCTGGGTCACAAAATCAGACAGAAGTAGCAACTACTACCTCAGGCTCCGGATAGGGAGTTTCCAGGGTGTGGGGCTTCCCGTGTACAAACAGGGTCAGTCTTGGGCACACAGGACGGTGTGGGTCACCCCAGTTCCCGGCTCATCTGTGTCCACCTGTGTCAGAACCCAGGATTCCGGGCCCCTATCTCCCCCGACACACGCCCAAAGCTGTCCTCCTGCCTGGCCTCCACCCGAGCCGCCTGTGACCGCTGGGCGCCCTACGAACAAACTTCCCCTTTTTTGCCTAACTGTGACCCGATGCTGTCTTCTGCCTCTCTCCTGAAAAGAGGTCAACTCCCCGGCCCTCCGGCGTCCTCCCACCCTCACAGGTCAAGGCTCCATGCGGAGTGCGACTCGGGTGGAACGCAAGGACTGCCGCTTCCTTTTTCCTACCCAGCACCCAGGGTCCAGCCCCAGCCCGCAGCCGCTGCCTGCCCCCTGGAGCGGGGCTGGGAGCCGCGGGGTCAGACCTCCGCCAGGTCCAGCAGGCCCAGACCCCGCATCGAGCTTTCTTCCCGGCCCCGAAGCCTACCGCGTCCGCCTCCTCGTCCTAAAACCCTTGGAGAAGCCCAAGCCCTTTCTGCAACATTTCCAATCTGTGAGCTGACACCTCTGAAACTTTCAGGAGGTGGGTCGCGACCGCAGGAAACTAAAACTTCCTCCTTCGGGACAGCTACACCGCAAGGCAACGACACCGTCTCTAAGTGCGGCGGTGCTCGGCGCCCCGGGACACAGGCGCCGGCCGCCGGACACTGCACTTCCCCGACACCTGTGTCTCCGGCCTGATCTTAGAAGCTCAGAGCCGGGGTCCGGGCCCGGCCTCACGCCTCGGACCCGGGGACCCAGGCCCCGCCTCCGCCCTCAGACCCGGGGTGCAGAGCCCCCGCACTCACCAGCGGTTTTAGGGGTCCACGCGCAGGAGAAAGAGCCGGCGACGGTGGAGACGACTCGGCGGCACCCGGGAAAGGCGGTCGGAGCACCTGGGGGAGAGGTCAGCACCGATCAGGCCCGGCTCCGCCCCCCAGGGCCCCGGCCACCGTGCAGCCGGGCACTGCAGGTTGGCGCCTCCGGGCAGGGACAGAACCTGCCCCGGCCCCCACCCCGAGGGGTCGGGGTGACCCGGATGAGAGCCGCCCCGCCCCTTGCACAGGCGCCCGGGCGGGCGGAGGGGCGGTGACGGGGCGGGGCGCCGCGATGCCCACCCCCGCCGGCCTGTCCGCGCCTTATTAGGCCTGCGAGGCCGCAGGGGCGGAGCGGACCCCCGCCCTCTGGGTGTCAGCCCTCGGGGTGGGGGGGTCATGTGTTGCGGCAGGCGAGGAGACAGCGGGAGCGCGGATTTCCGAGACCCTAAAAAGTGAGTTTGGGTCCTGCACCGGGGGTCTCCAAGAGGAAGGGGCGGGGACCCCCGACTCCCGGGCTCCCCTAGAGGCGCGCGCGGCGCTGCAGGGAGCTCAGTCGGCAGCGGCAGCCACGTGTCTCCCGAGGGTCCCGCGAGGCCACGTGGAGCCACAGCCCCGGCCCCTCCGGGCAGGGCGCGCCGTTCGCACCGGAAGGCGCGCGCGGAGAGGTGGGCGCGGCGGAGAAGGGGCGCTTCCGAGCAGGG